TATTTAGTCATTGTTTAAATTGTAATGAAAATATTTGCCTCGAATGTCTACCTGGATTTTAATAAGATAGTATTGCAGAATAATGTACTTTAATACCTAAAGGTGATGAATAAAATAAAATATAATGTTCTTATAAATGTGAATAATGTAATTAATATGGAGTATGCACTAAATTTAAATCAATTTATTATTTCAATTAATAAAAATAAAAATGTGATCTTTGTTTTAATAAATTTAGTAATTGTCTAAATTGTAAGAAAAACGTTTGTATTTATTGTTTTCCTGGATATTACTTAGATATTATTTCAAAATCATGCAACTAAATAAATAATGGAGTTATACATATAAATATAGATGAAAATATATAATAAACTACTATTTTTAAAGAGGTATTGGTTTTTATAATTAGTTATGCTGTATTTGGACTATTATTGTGAAGATTTTTAAATAATAGTAATTAAAATTTATATTTTATATATTTTTTATAAAAAAAAAATTTTAATAATTTTTTTTTATATTTTTGTATAATTTTTATTTTTATTAAATTAAATTAAATTAAAAAATTATTTTTTAAAATTATTTAACAATATATCTTGAAAATTATATTAATATAAAAATAATGAATTATGTATTATTATTATTTTATGTTAATAGTTATTTTAAAGATGAATATTTAAATATGTATAATATTAAACTTTTAATTATTATAAAAAATTATTATAATTAATTATAATTATTATTAGAGAACAAAATAAACCCTTATTTTTTAATTTGAGAAATAAATTGATAAATTATTAAATAATAAAAATATTATTATAAAATATTATAAATAATTATATAGTTTATTTATTATTAAATTTTTTTATTAATTTTTTTAAAAAGTAACAATAATTATAAAATTTCGAATAAATAAATATTTATTTTTATAAAAAATTGTTTATTTATTTTTATAATAAAAATATAAAAATTAAAAATATGTTTTATTAAAAAAATATTAATTATAAACATATTATTATTATTAATATTAATATTATTATTATTATTATTATTATTATTATTATTTTTATTATTATAATTATAATTATTGTTATTTTTTATTTATATTTTTTAATATATAAATTAATTTATTTAATCTTATATTAATATTTTTTATATTTAAATATTATTTTTTTATCTATTTAAACATTTCATAATTATTTTATATCCACATCATGATTTATTTTAGTTATTTTAATTATGGTTTTTGTAATTATTTATATTCGTTCTATTGGTTTGTAGTTACTTTACTACTTTTCTTTCTGTTTTATGATTTATAGCTTACGAATAAAATATATAAGGTATCATTTAATATATTTTTTTTTATTTTTATACAATGTTCGCGAGAATAGATTGTTTTCGAAAATATATGATGCTTTTATATTAGCAAATTAAACTCAATAAATATTTGTATAGATAGTAAAATATTTTACTAAATCTGCAAATTATGATTTCAAATATAATATTAATTAATTTATTTGTTGTGGATGTGAGAAAATGTAAAAATTTTTTTTTTTAATTTAATTTTTAATTTTATTAATAAAATTATTATTTTAAATATTTTAATTTAATTTAAAGTAAAAGATTTTTAAATGAAAAAATTAATTTTTAATATAATAAT